TCATTGTTTTCGTTGTTTTTCAAGAGCGGTAGGTCGAAACAGGTAGAAATAATTTCTATAGTACAAATATTTTAGAAAGTTTATGATATTTTTTACGGCCAAAAATTTAATAACTAACTTCATGGTTAGTGTATTGTTTTATCAAGGTCATTTTTATTTATGACTTACCTGATGTATCATGTAGGTATCATATTTTTGTATTTAAAAAAGTAATATAAAGTAGTATATATAATAAAAGTAAAATAAAGAAGTAACATGTACTTTACATTATTTTAAATCTAGAGAAAACAGAAAGCCTCAATCACGTGACAATCAGACTGAGATATGAATTTTGGAAAATAAAAAAAATAAAATAAATACTCAAACAACTACACAACTAAAAGCTTCAATATAGTGGATATTGTGTGTTCTTATTTTTTTTACTCCTAGATTTAATCTGTCATTTTAATTATTGCGATATGGATTCTAGACACGCGCAGTATATTTCCGAAGAGAGTAAATGAAACGGTATGTATAAACGGTTCTATTGTCTATTTTTCTTCTTCTGCCATTTTTTATATTCGTTTTAATGCCATATGCATCTTAAGGTGTCTTATTGGGCTTATTTATTCTATTATTTCCTTTATTCTCGACTATTTTCTGAATTTGATTCTTTTTTGTAGACGTACCTACTGTTCCTTTCTGTCATTGTTTCCAGCACTAGAATTTAATTTTTTTATCTTCATGTTTTAATCTTTTTGTTTAATCATGTTTTTTCGTTATACTTTTTTCGTATCTTTCGTTTGTAAAGATTATGAATGCAAAAATTAAGAAAACCATCTAGTAAGCTACTAACTCAAACATGTAGTAATTGAAGCAATTATTATAATTTAACCACAAAACCGGCCTCTACCCTATTACAAACAAGAAAAAAAGATTTTAAAACTATAAGTATCATGTCTTTCTTTGATAATGTAGCACAATAACATAACGTTCCTATAAAAAATAGTATTTATACATTGCAGAAAATAATTTATAAAACTACACTGACATAACAAGCAAATATTAAATCTGCAAAAACGGTATAAAACAATAGAACGTATTATCTACTTTATTAAATAAGAATTACCCACAAGTAATTAAAAATTCATTTATTTTGTGAGTTTTGAGTTTAACTTTTGACCACAAATATAAGGACTTTAAAATATATTTAAAAAAGGCACAATTTAAACTCTGACGTTACAAGCAATCACACGTCATGAAAAATGCCTCCACGACTGGGCTCTAACAATGAAAACTTCAATGCTGTCCAAAAATCTCGCAGTGTTATTTATTTTACACCTTTATAAAAACTGACTGCATTTGCAAAAAAATAAAAAAAAACTATATACAAAAGCTGCACTCTTAAACCCTAAAAGGCATTTAAATTTTTGTCGGACACTTTGATCAAAAATATCGAATTAATTTCGTGCGCAAAACTTACATTTAAAATCGCCTGTTGATTCAAGCCTTGTTTCTGAGAGAACGGTTCATTCTACACAAAAAGTGTTAATAAACATTTTTGTTCAAATGTATATCAGCTATATTTTTGGTTTAAAACGTTTAGTTTTCTACGGCGTACAGATAAAAGCCAAGGGGTAGGAATAGTAAACTTTTTTGCTTATGCTTTTTTGCTTTAATGGAAATAATTAATAATTATAATTTAATACACAAGGAAATACGAGGAAAATTACATTACCGTACATAAAAGGATTATCAGAAAAACTTAAAAGGATAGGCAATAAATTCAACATTTCAACAACATTCAAAACAACAAACACGTTGAGATCTATTTTGTCCAAAACCAAACCTAACATTGAACAAGAAAGGACAAAGAATTGCATTTATAAAATACCTTGTGAATGCCATCAATTTTATTTAGGTGAAACATCAAGGCCATTAAATGTTAGAATAAGTGAACATCAGTCTTATATTAAAAATAGACAATTTGACAGATCTCAAATATGTAAACACGCATGGAATAATGAACATAGGATTCAATGGAATAATTCAAATGTAGTCCTAAAAGAGACGGATGGTAAAAAAAGAAAAATTAAAGAAGCGGCTTTTTTTATGCTAAATGAGGCCAATTGTGTAGCAAATTCCTCGGCAGAATGTAGTAGGATCTGGTTACCAATACTGAAAGAGGAAGGTATTAATAAGAAAATACCAGTATTAGTAAGTCAGTAACATATGGAGGATACATCATTTATGTTTTTTAAATAACGAAACATACAAAATCAGAATTTTGGTGTTTATTGAAGGTAAACTCAATGCACGAACAAATACTTACCATGTCGGGATAGTATTATGAGATTTTTTTCCTGGTTTTTCCCTCATAATTTACTATGGAATCACTAACAGGAGAATTTTACTGTCATCATGTCATGTGTTTGTCTTTTAAAGACGAATTATGTCTGAATTGTCAATATAAATGAGTCAGATAAAATTAAATTATTAGAAGAATTTTTCACTATGTAACAAAAAACAAAATTTGTTTACCCCCCTCTGTGGCTCAGTGGTAAGAGCGCCTGCCTTTAAATCTAAAGGTCGTGAGTTCGAATCCCATCTGGGTGGAGAAATTTTCGTTTATTAAAAAATTAATGAATGAAAATAATTTCTATTCATGTGTGATCGGTACTCACCGGAGGGACCGCAGACGTTCGGATACAATTAGCGTCTCTTAGCAAAGACAATGACGTCGACTTTGCTAAGTATCAAGACAATTACTCTACACACACACACTACACTAGGTACCTGACTGTACCATGCCAATGATCATAGTTGTCGAGACATTAACTCAATAAAGAAAAAAAAAATTGTTTAATTTACTGTTTGTATTGTGAGAACGATTTCCGAAGTGGAAATTGAAACGTCAATAAACGTATTTTTATCTTTAATTGTGGCTTATTCCCAGTTGAATAGTAATTAATTTAAAATGCCACAAGAAAATAGCTTCAGAACAATACTCTTCTAAACTATGTGCATCTATTGTCAGTTTTGTCATTTGTGTCTTCTTTTCCTTGCTTACGTTCGTGTATTTTGTTTTATTTTCTTTTATTTCCAGTCCTCTTAGTTTGACTTTGTTTTCTATTTCTTGGAAGGTTTTCTTTATTGCCTGTTTATCTGTTGCTACTATGGTTATATATCGTCCGCATATCCTATTATTTGTACTGCATTCTTGTTTATAGTTCTTGAGTTTGACAGCTTTTTTATTATTTTGTTTAGAGACAAAATAAATAGTACCGTTCAGAGCGCATCTCTTTGTCTTACCCCATTTTTTATTTTTATAATTTCTATTGTTCTTTTTTGCCGGTGTACATTAGAGCTTGGAAATCTGGCATTGTCATCTCTCTCATTTTTATAATTTTATTTGGTATAATAGTCTCTTGTAAGTCTTGGACCATTTTTCTTCTGTTTAGTTTATCAAATGCCAGTTTAAAGTCTAGGAAAAATATATGTGTTTCTTCGTCGTATTCATATGTTTTCTCTATCACTTGTTTAAGCGTATGTATAGCGTCTATCATGGATCTTCCTTTTCTAACAATTTACTGGTAATCCCCTATACTTTGTTCTGTATATATATTGTTGGTCTGTCTACATTCAGTTAATTAATTGCTCGGTAGCTTTTGCATATTCTATGGTCTAGTTGTTTTAGGATTGTAACTATAATTCCCTTCTTCCATTCTTTGCTCATTTTATAACCTCTATAAGTCTGCATGTATTACGTCTTCTCCTGCTGTTTTCCCACTTAAGTTTGCATATTTTCTCTTTAACTTCTGTATAGTTCGCTGTGTTCGTTATAGTTTCTTTTGCTTCTTCTCTATTCGTATCCTGATATATTTCTTCGAAATACTTCTGTCATTTTTCTACTTTTATATCTATATAAGCTGTACGTTTTTGGTAACCTAGTTTTAAGTAGTAGTATAATGGTTTTAAGTTGTGTCTTTTATTTCTAGTCTAGTCTCTTCTATTTTATTTTTTATCTCGTTCGTAATTTCTTCTACTTTTTGATTTTTTTAGATTTAAATAATTTTTTGTCTTTTGCCTTTTTTCTTTGCATTTTTCTCGTTCATTTTCTTTACTTGTGCTTAACCATTTTAATTTTGTTCTATTCTTTTCTTTCACTGCTAATTTGCACTCATCGTCAAACCAATTCTACTTCTTTTATTTTGCATTTTGTAAACCATTTTCTCTGCTGTATTGTTTATTCCTTGTTTGATTTTTTCGCGGTTTCTCCATTTGTTGTTCTTTAAACTGTATCTCTGTATTTACTTCTTGTTCAAATCTTCTTTTACTACTTTCTGTTTCAATTTATCTACGTACATTTTCTCTATGATTTTCGCCTTTTATTCTTCGTTGCTTTTATTTTACATTTTGTAATCACTAGCATATGGTCCAAATCTAGCATTACGTGATAATAGTAGTTAATATATCAACAAAGCTAACAACACATGTAATATTATTTTCTGATTTTATCATATTTAGCTTAAAAACAAATACATCTATATTTTTGCCAATTCGAGATAATGTAACTATTTAAATGCCATGCCAATTAAATAACGTTTTGTCAAACTACAGAACATTATTTATTTGCCAAACAACAGAAATATTTGTAGTATTTATTTTTTCAGCAATTTTTCAGGTACAATAATTAAAAAATGTATTTTAGATTTTGTATTAAGATAACAAATATTACCAAAACTATGCCGTACTGATTGTCAAAGTTAACCAATAGATGCACGCCGTACGGTACTACATAGGGTAGTAATTGGTCGAAATGGTAATTCCAGGAGTAATTAATGGGAGTACTTCAGGTAGGTATTTAAGTTGGTCAGTTTCCAAAATTAGATTAATGTGTAGTTGTGTTTCAAACTATTCAAAAAGAAAAATTATCAAACTTTGTCGTTGAACTTATAATAACGTTGAACGCTAACGTTGAAGTTATATTTTGATTTTCTATTTCATATTTTATTTTCGCAATGGCAAGGAAACAGAAAACAAACGTAAAGTTGACTGCTGAAGTCTCCAAGAGGAACTTAAGGTACGTCAAATATATTTTAATATTACAGAATTAACAAAAAATAATTTTTTTAACAATTTTTACTTGGTGTAAATCCGTACGTTATAATTTAATGTTACATAATGAATGAATTAGTTACCCTACATGTATAAATATAATATTATTTTACTACGATGGAATATTATTAGAACAATATTTAAAACATTTCTATCTATTAAAAATTATCTGTACCTTTATTATATTTCTTACGTATTTTATTGTATTCGCATGTACCGTATTTAATCCGTTTCTTGATATATACATCCTTTTATTTTTATTTATTATTCTTTATCAAGTGCTATCCAACTACAAACTTTAAGATCTAATAAAAGCTCTATCAGATCGGATTTTTGTTACATGCCTATTACATTTATCTGTATTTTAATGTTTTAATAATGATCGATATAGCTTATATACTACAAGTTTCATAATAATATACCACATATTACACCATATAGGCATATAGTATATGCCTTAGGATTCTTCTTTGCGACTTTGTGCAATTTGTAAATTTGTCTCCTAATTTACCGTGGACGTATAAACACAGATGGACTCAGTTATTTCCATAAAATTGAGTAGTCAAAATTATTTGAATAGGTCACATTCTCAGCACCTTGAACTGTTGTCACGTTTTGTTTTAAAATTTCTTATTCGCGAGTCGCTAAAAATATTACTCCGTATTTTATACTCTACAGGTGCTGTCAAACCAAAATAATAATTTATTGGTTAGATTAATATATTTAATTGTAATCAAAATATCAAGTGTGCACATAGTGTGCATTATCATTTAATATTAGCGTATAATAGATATCAATCAATTATTTTATATGTAAAAGCACTGAAAACTATTTATAAATGGCAACGGTTGTTTACATTTCTCTGCCTTATGGATCTACGTCAAACTTCAAATGCTGTTCCGTGTTTGTTTACTTTTTACAGTATATGAGAAAAAGTTGTTTTTCGATATTTTGGCTGTATTTTGAGTGATATTTATGAAAAGTGAAATAAAATAAACGAAATATTCACATCCCGATCTCTCATTTCGTTTGTAAGTACATACAATTTACATTATTTAAGATGAGGAAATGAGGAAGCGTGTTTGTTTACATTTTAATAGGCGTACCATTGGGTTTATTCATGTTCATTAATGCATTGAATAAGATATGAGTTCATGAAATTAGTAGACATTTTTAAATTGTAAGTAGACGTCATCTGATTAAAAAGATCTGTTTAGTACCTTTTTAATTTAATATTTCTCATGGATACAAATAAATGAGTGAAATGAATAAAACTCATTTATTTTTCTATGTAGGTTTCCACATAATATTGACAATCGAACTATTTGGGTAGCAAATTTAGGAGAAAACATAAAGATTTTTTATTGTAGCATTAATTTGATACCTATTAAAAAATTAACTAAAATTCAACTATATTTAATTGTATTAATTTTAAAGCAAATAAAATTGTATTTTAATTTTTCTATAAAGACGTGATTTGTTAATAGTTAAACTCTCGTTTTTTTAAATTCTTTGAACGTATTTTATACATTATTCCTACTTCCAATTTTTAAAATCTGAATAATTACCCGCGAATAAAAATTCAAGCACGCTTATGCTCATTGCGGAAGCATCACATTCTATCGAAGCTTCAAAACATTGTGTGCTAAAGGTATCTTAGTGCGTCCATCTATGTTTATACGTCCATGTAATTTACCAATATGCCAATGCTGCTAGGTATGTTATTTCTGTTGTCCCATTGGCCTGGTTAAATTATGCTTGTGTATATTACATTTCTTTTCTTTACATTACTAACTATTACTAACATTTCTTTTAGCCGGATTAATTGCCAAGCTTATATTTAGTGTTAATTCTTGAAACAATATTCTTACATTATTTTCTTCCCTTTTTGGAATAACATCGTCGACTATCACATATATGTGATAGTCGACAAAGAAAAATGATTTATTGAATATCTGCTCTTTTTTTAACATATTTCTTTTGTTCCTATTTTGTCATGTTTTCTTCTTAGCCTTCGTCCATTTTTGGACAGAGGCCTTTCCCAATTTGTCCCGACTATTCTTTTTATGACATCTACCATCTCATCTGCGATTTTTCTTTTGGTTATCTACCTTTGTAATGTCTTAAATGTTATTTTCTCAAAGCTTCATTTGAGTTTGTCAGTTTTAGTTGTGATATCCTCGGCATTTGTTTGTAATAGTACCCAGTCGTTCATCTTTTTATCTGACAGTCGTATACCTAACATTGTTCTTTTCATTGCCCTTTTTATTGTGGCTAGTTTAATCATATTTTCTTTATTTAGAGTCCAGGTTTGACATCGATATGTCAAGATTGAACACTTTGCTTCTCAAGTATTAAGGTATTTTGCATTTCTTAATTATCCAACTGAGTTTTCCAAATCCTCCCCACACCAGTCTTACTCTTCTTATGATTTCGACACTTTGGTTATCTTTGTCAAGTTTCAAAATTTGCTCTCTGGACACGTTTTATCTCACTGCCATTTATTGTTATACTTTTGGGGTCGTCTGTGTTGGTCATTGTATTAGTTTTAGCTGGCTTCGCGAGCTGTAAAAGGTTTTGTAAAAGTCTTCGACCATCTTTGTTATTTTATATTTTTCTTTCTCTTCCTTAGTATTAATGTCTTTACCTTTGATATAGTTTTTGAATACCCAGTGTTGATCATAGACTTTTAAGATCATTTAGACTTTATTAAGTTCCAATTCCATATTTTTTGTTGCGTTTTAGTTCGTTTCTAATTTTTTTCTAAAATTGTTTTAAATACTTAGTTATATCTTACGTATTTGTCTTATTTAACTCGAGGGTTAAAATATTTAACAAAGATCGAAGTACAATAGTATCTGGTAGCACCTAACAAAAGCCTAAATATTTCAGTTTCCTCATATCACCTGGCTGGATTTTTGCTTTTAGTTTATTTTCTTTCGGTCATCACTGCTATGTGATATAATTTTAGACGTATGCTTTAAAGCTACATATAATTCTTTCTGTGCGGGGAAATAGAATATTTTTTCATTTCTGGTTGTAGCTGTAGAAGCATTTTTGTTTTTTTTTAATATTATATTTTTTATCGAATCAGATGATTTCGTGATTATTTTAGTATTTAGTTTAGTATTTAATTGATTTAGTAGATTCGTTTAGATTGTACATTTCTACCAAGATTTATATCCATACACTTTGCTACTATTATATTAACCCAAAAATATGAGTCACTTTAGTTTTTACACCATCATCTAGGATACAACAAATTATAAAATAAATTTCTTATTATTGTTATGTTTATACTCTGTTTTTTAATGTACCTCCAATAAGTTTGTCATACCATCGTTTTCGTAGTTTTCCCTCTGATCGTCATCCTATTGGGGAATCGTCTTTTGCCGACTTTAGGACTCTATTTTTAATCATTCTGCTATTATGATTGTTCTATTCTACTTTCCCCTTTCTTAGGCAGTATTTAATGTTCTCCACTTTGCATCTCCTCTTAAAAATCTGTACTTCTAACTCTGTCCCATGATAACTTACCACAAATGTTTCTATCGGTTTTTATCTTTGATGTTTTTAGCATTATCTTTGTTTCTTCCGTGTCAGTTCGTATTTCTGCCGTGTATGTCATTATCGGTCTAATAACCTTTATTTTACTTCTTTTCAAATATTCTTACTCCTTTGTAGTGTTACATTAAGGAGTTCTGCGGCTCTATTTGCTCTATTCATTTAATATTCTTTTTTTTTGTTTCGAGCTTCTCGTAGCTAGGCAGTGTGATGCCGAGATATTTAAACTCAATCACTTCGTTTATTATCTGTTCCTCTATCTCCAATTTACACCTTTATTACCCTTTATTTACATGTAGATTTGCTGTTATATCCATGTATTTTGTCTTTTTTTGTTTAAGTGATTAGTATTGCGTCGTTCGCCTAACAGATTTTTTCAAGTTGTTTTTTTCTTATTGGGTATCCGTAATTATATTTCATCCATGATCAGGTTAAACAGTAGAGGGATCAGATATCCTTCCTGTGTTATCCCACTGTTAGACTCATTTGGGTCGGTTATTACCTCTACTTTTAGTTTGATTATGTTGTTCTGGTATATTTAATATTTTAGATTGTTTGGATTAGGTCTATAGATATATAGTTTTCTTGCGTGCAATAAGTTAATAACATCATTTAATTTGACCCCGTTAAATACCTTCTCTAGGTCGGCGAATTATTATTATCTTTTCTATTAGTTTTACTTTTATTAATATTTTTCCCTTCCTCCTTAATGTGTATTTCTTCATTTGTTGACACTTCTGGTGATAATGAACTACATTATCGTTTGGCAAATAGGGATCGAAAATGGTCGGTTACTGAAATCACATGTATACTTCTCAATGTGTCTCGTTTTTATTAGTTTGCTCATTTATTTTCTTTGTCCTCTAATTATTCTTCATATTTTTCTCTGTGTTCCGTAGAAGTCGTGTTCTATCTGTTTTGAAAAGCTTTTCCAGTGTTCCTTTTTTCTGTGTCCATGTTTCTGAATAAATTATTTGTTTTATTTTGGATTTGCTTATAGTGGTTTAATCCTTTTTTTTTATTTGTTGTGTTGTGTATATGATATATAACGACTTTTTTTACATGCTATCTTCTTTTTCTTCCTTTAATGGTTTCTGTTCTTCGATAATTAGGATATTTATGAGTTTTTCCACGCTTTTTTTGATGTCATCGTTTTTTATATTTTATTTTCATCAATTCTCTTTAATATTATTTTTCTGTATAAGTATTTCGTAGATTCCGTAATTCGTCTTTCCTCTCCACTGTGATTTTTGTTGGTGATGGTGCTTTCTCGGGTGTGCTGTAGTTTGTGATATTTCTTATTTTACATAATACTAAGCTATAGTCCCTACCTATATCTGATGCGTTTGGGCATCTTACGTCTAATATTTTTAATGAATGTATGTTTTTGTTAGTTATAATCTAATATATCATAGACCTTTCGTTTATTGAATGAATACTTGTGTTGGTCTCTGTAGTCAAAACGGTGTTTCGTTTTGGGCATTTTCATTATGTTGTTGATTGATTTGGGGTATTATTTGGTTGTCTATTTGAGTTTCATCTTCCCTCTGCCTTAGTTTATTACTTGTTGTTCTCATAAAATATTTCCCTTATTGTTCGAGGCTTTTTATTTTCTGAGCCGAATACTTAGATGATGTTCAAATTTTTCTTCCCCATTCCTATGTTTATTGTTTTAATCCCTTCTAATACATATTAATATTCTTTGATTTGATTTTGGTATCTTTGATGTATTGATAAGGCTATACCTTTTTTGGCTCTGTCTTATTTTGCTACTTCACTGTAGATTAGTATATATTCACCTAGTTTTGATTGCTCTTTTCTTATTGTTTTTGTTTCCTGTAAAGGGCATATATCAATTTGCTTATCTTTAAGTTACTTCATGGCCACTTTTCATTTATGTTTTTAATATTCTTTTCTTGTCCTTATTCCTTGCCGTGGTCTTTATCATTCGCATTGTTTATTTGAGCAGTCTTAGTTTTTACGATTGGTATGTTGCTAAACTTGCCAATCACCCTCCACATTTTATTCGGGCTTGAGACCGGCTGTTGTAATCGCAATGTTTAAAATTAATTTCAACATTATATTTTGTCATTTTCAGTGGTGTTCACACAAATTTTTTAAAACAGTCACCTTTTTCTTATTAAATCTTTCTATTCTTTAAGTTCTTCTACTTCTTCGTGAGGATAGTCTATGATATTTTTTTATGGAATTTTTATAATTTTTTTTTGGATTGTAATTTAAGTATATTATTGGTCGTCTTGATTTTTCATAATATAGACTTATTGCTTCTTTTATTATTACAATTACCTATTATCTTATTAGTTTCTGAGTATATATTTAGTTATTTACGTATGTCTTAATTTCTGACTAAATCTCTTCTTGTGAAAATCCCAAACATTTTATGATTTATCCAACATTCATTTATGTGTATAAGTATGGCATAGTTACAGATGCGCGGAAACGGTCTGAGCGAGATCGGTTGGGGCTGGGTGGGGTCACTGAAGCAGCGATCAACATGTCGACGGCAGTCTTTTAGCATTATCACGTAGTTTATTTAAGCTGTTATGGCGTTTTTCAAGTTCAATAAGACACCATGGTCTTCATTGGAGATTTGATCTTTTACAGATCTGACGAGATTGGACAACTTGGAGTGAGTAGTGAAGATGGTTTGAATATTTAGAGGGATAAGAGTTCTACTGATTTTATCAGTGACACCTTTGATAAAAGGTAGAAAGAATTTAGGATGATTAGGCAGCAAGGTTTTTTGGATGAAATGGGATTAGATGTTTTTGAATGCTTTTATTAATTTGGGTTTGGTAGTAGCCGTTTTGTAAGAGTGTTTAGTTTATTAAATTAACTTCCATCGCCAATTAAATACTGGGATGTACTTCATTCAGGTAGAAGATGAAGAGATCTAATGTGTTTTTACTCTGGAGCCAAATCACAAAGGTGTCATCGACGTACCGTAACCACCACGTGGGTTTGAGAATTGATGAGGACTGTGCTGTTATTTTAAAATGTTCCATTCAGATATCAGCTATTAAGGTAGAGAGAGAAAGGTGATCCCATTAGGGCACCTTTGATTTGATGATAGAAATGATTTTGGAATAAAAAGTATGTATTAGACCTGCAGTGTTTTGTAAGATGTGTCGTGGGGGATTTGATGTTTATAGAGACCAAAATGGAAATAGTCTCATAAATAGAAATGTTCGTGGATAAAGAAACAGTGTCAAAACTAAATCATATAAATCTGAGGGTGAAATAGAAATGTATATTAGAAAATCAATGAACTGGAAAGAATTTTTAACACAGGACGAGGCGTTTTCGGGCAATAGTTGTAAGGATAAGGCGAGATATTTTGCTCATTTTTGAGTGGGGCAGTTGTATGCACGGGCGATGGGTCTTAGGGCGACATCGGGCTTATTGATTTTTGACAGGCTATTATATTCTTATAATTCGAAATCATTTATGTCTGGGTATAAGAGACTTTTTGATGTCTGGAGGTAGTCTACTATGTCTTCTTCTAGTCTACTATGAGTACATCGAGTAGATCTATGATGGATTTGGTCGTTTTTTCTAGAATGGTAATGAGATCGATTTTAACGCGCTTATATTCTGTGGAATTGAGAAGATACAACATTTTGTGGAAACAATTAAAAGAGTAGAGAATGACAGTGGCATTATCTTTGTTCACCGGAAGGATGATAATGTCAAGGTTGTTCTAAAGTTCTTTGTTGGCATGTCGTAATGAAAGACTGATATTTGATGGTAAATGTTTGAAAGTACAAATAGTTCAGGCGACATCTTGTCTGACAACTTCGGCTTGGTCTAAAGGAAGATGATAAATAGCTTTTCAGTTTAAAAATAATTTTCTCAGTTGGGATGAAAGGATAAGTGACAAAAAAATTTAAATCTTTTAAAAAAGCTTTAATAACTGAATCGAATATATGAATATCTGAGAAATTGAGTACAACAGTAGAAGGTTGTTGATTCAAAATGGGCTGTAGATTTTGCTGATAGATAAGTTTGTTCAGTTTGCGTTTCTGGCTTTGAGTTTTGTTGTCCGAAATATGTTGGGCTTTTTGGTGAGAAAAAAGATCAAAATATTCCATAATAGTAAATGGATATTGTAAGAGTGAATGTCATTGTAGGTTTAGAAAACTTCGTTTGTCTACGCTACGTAGGATGAAATGAATTGAATTTAGAAGAAGCCAAAAATCAGTAGTTCTGAGAATTTTGGAAATCGATGAAGATTTAATGTAATGTTTAGTTTAAAGAGATTTTGGAATGACTTGATGATCACGACACGATTTAAGGAAAGCAAGGTCACAGACAAGACTGTTTTTGCCTGCAGTAGAAAATTTTACCTTGTATGATTCATAATCAACACCATGTTATTAAGTTTATTAAGATCAGGTTTTTAAGAAGTTTTTAAGAACATAAAAATATACAGGGTGTTCTATTAAAAACAAAAATGATAGAATGTTAGACTAGCTGAATCATACGTTACATTTAAATTTATGTTCAAAAAACGCACATTTAAATTTAAAAGTTGACATGTACCAGCGTTTTTTAAAATTTTATAAAACAAGAACACAAACAATTTTATTTCGTGGTTTGTTCACCGTATAATTTCAAAATGTTACTTTATAATATTTATAATAGATCCTACATGATATAGTTCGTTAAGATCAGGTTATTAAGGATCTTTTAAATATATAAAAATATACACGGTGTTGCGTTAAAAATAAAGCTTATGGACCATACTAGGCTTGCGTGAATCATCCTATAACATTTAAATTATTGTTTAAAAAAAAACAAATTTATGTATAAAAGGGTTTCAGCGTTTTTTGATTTTTTTTAAATAAGAACAGAAATGATTTTATTTCATAAATAGTTTGCACCCTGTATAAAAAAAATATACAATTAGTTTTAAAACAGTAAACTGTTTTATCACAAAGACAATAATTTTTATTTTCTTTGCAGATCATCTTGCAATAAAAATAACAATATTGCCACGATATCAACCTCAAAGAATGTTAGAAAACCTGCGAAGCGGCAACTGGTTAAAGACCTTTCGCCAACCCCACCTGAAATTACTATTCCAACAAAAACAGTTACTACCGTTGTCCAAATACAAAAAACAGACCCTACAGATAAAATTATTCCAACTGATGAACAGAAACAGGTTACAACCGAACCAATCATTGCTGTTGTGCCAACTGTTGAACTCAATTTGCAAAAGCAAAAAGGAGACCCCACAGATCCATTAATTCGAATCGATGAACGGACACCGGTTACAACCGAACCAGTCATTGCAGTGGTAGAGGAGCACAAAATGGATACTTCAGGTCCAATTATTACCGCTGTTGAGCAAGAAACACCGGAAGTACAAGAGTACGTCTATTTAAATGGATGCCAGGTGTTCACAACATACCGTCACAAGAAATTTGACAACTTACACAGGAAGTCATACTTTAGCAAGAAATGTTGGTTCGCATACTCACGGTTGCAACTGAACTTAAAAGTATAATAAAATTAAAATATAGTACTAAAAAATTTACAAAAAAAGGTCAAAAGTAATTAAAAATTTGTCAAAAGTTGACAAAAAACAACAAAAAATTTAATAATTTTATAATTAAATCGGTATTTGATATAAACGTTTGATAGTTGCCAAAGGTTAAAAAATAAAACAAATTAATAAGTATTTTAAAAATAGCTTTGTCGAGATTACTAAAATATTAATAAGATATTCGTACCTCTTATGGTCCAAAATTAAGATTTAATAACTGGAAAATGCTTAAAATAAGCCTCTATGAGCCAAAGTAGTTAGCAATAAATATATTCTAACAATTATGTGAGTAGCTTTTAATTTTTTTTTGTTTTAAATAATCGTTTATTAAAAAAATTATTTTAAAAGAAAATATCATTTTTTTATTAAGGTTTAATAATTGGGAAGTAAGTAACAAGTGAAGTCATTTTGCAATCTCATTTTATAAACACATTTTATCGACTCCTAAATTTTTAATAGATAACTCCGTGGTATTACATCTTTTTGTGGGATTTAGCAGACTTGACAACATGCCCTCCCTCTATCTTGATCAATCTCCGCATCTCTCAAATTCCCTATTCTAGACTATATTTCTTATCCTTATCTGACAGTGTTGCAGCTCTATCTAATAATATATTTTATTTTGTTTCCGTAATAATAATGCCTTTAAATATTTATTTCCATGTATATAAAGACTGTAACTGTAGAACAATAATTGAATTAGATTGTTTAGTCTTCTGGAAACACGGCTTCTACCTCAGCTTTTTCGTATGTTCATTTCGTTGCACTTACTTCTCATAACATGATCTAAACATTAACAACTTTCTATTTTCAATAGTTTTTAGGACATCTGTTTGTATAATTAATACTACATCGTTTGTGACTCTGTCAACCCTGTTTATTTTGAACATTTTCATGTAAACCCACATTTCTAAAGCCTTTACTCTATCGGCGATATTTTTCTTTAGCGTTCATGCCTCTACTCCATACAGTAATACAGAGAGTATATAATACTTCAAAAGTCTAATTTTTAATCAGGCCATCAAATATTTTACACAATAACAATCAAGATACAAAATCTTCGTTGCAAAAAACATTTTTCATTGTGGTAAATGCGTATCTTGCTTGTTTAATTCTTTTGGATTTTTTAAATATATGAGTTCACGTTAATTTTATTGATCCTACATATTTGTTTACGTGTGTGTTTTATGTATTTTCTGTGAATCGTTACGCTCTCTTGTTGATGCTGTGATTGAACGATCAACATAAATTAAGTTTTTTCGTATTTAGAGTTGGACCTCTTTCTTCATTGGGTCCAAGTACTCGATTTACTAGTTGCTGTAGATCTTCAAGATATTTCACTATCAGTACTGTATCGTCAGCGTATCTTAAATTGTTGATAGGTATTTCGTTCACTTGTATGCCTATTTTTGTCTCTATATTTGATAATATGCATCCTTCACTGACATCTCTCCATATTTAGATTGCATCTCAACGCCTTTTCTCCTCCTTCATTATGGCTGTTTCATTATAGTAAAGTTTATTTATAATTCCAATGTCCTTCGTCTACAATTTTTTCATTGTAGTAGTTGATTGACTGATTTTATCGAATGCTTTGTTGTAGTGTAAAGAATGGCAAGAATCTATGTCTGGTTCCGCATTGCCTATATGGTGTAGTTGCAGACGAAATTTCAAATAATAGTTTTAGAACACGGCATACAATTCCCAAATTCAATGTCACTTTACATACCTAATACAAAATAATTTGATTTTCGAACTATAATATATTTTCTTATTCACTTTATTTTTTAAGTAATATTTTCTATTACGAAATTTTTATTACTCTTAAGAATTAATTAAGGTTTTCTAAGGTTTTAATTCATCTACAAAATCTATAAAATATACAAAAATTTAAAACCGGCACGTCAAAAGTACTACGTACATCGTCATATAAAGAATGTCTACCAACGATTTTTCTAAATGAAAACTGAAAATTCTGAAAATCATTATAGGCAATTTTATCTTTTAACTTATTTTGGCCATACTTCAACGTATATATTTGAATTTTTTATATATAACTGCATGTTTTGCGTAGTTTTTGCATTGAGAGTTTGTCGATATGCTATGTTATTAACGGTTAGAGTAAAACAATATGCTGTTTAAATACAAAACTTCTGTTAGTTTAGTATATCTTATGTATATCATTTAAAAAACATATTGACAACATAAATGTAAAATATTGTAACCTATTATGAAAATGTATCTCACTTTCAAAATGTTTTCATTTCGTCTATAAGATATTTTAAAATGAGTAAATATTGTCTTGTGAATATATTTTTAATTTGGATTTCACTTATGTTTTTGTTGTCAATAAGTTTAGTGTTAGAGTAAACATCTTTTGTAATAATAATGTATGTTCTGCTGTTAAACATATCGCAAAATACATTAAGTTAAATATGTGTACGTCTTTCATTAAATGTACCGACTAAATTGGGAATAAACGACTAAGGAAATTAGGATAAACAGATTTGGGCAACCAACAATAATTGTTGGAGTATATGCAGTGACAGTTTGGGCTTGGAGAAAAAAATAAGCGAGAGGACCGATTGGATGAATTTGTATCAGATGAGATTGTAATTACTAACACTTACTTGAAACTCCCATACAGAAGATTATACACGTGGAAATCACCTCAAGATACTTTAGGCCACATAGTCAGAAATCAAATAGAATAAATTATAAATAATAAAAGATTCCGTAACAGCATTACATCAGTCAAGACATACCCAAGAGCCGATATCAAGTAAGACCATAACACACTGGTTTGCAGAATGAGGGTCAGGCTACGTCAGAAGACGTAGTAGTAGACGTAGTGTCACCCCAAAATACGACATTAGGCTACTCAAAGACCAACGCAAAGAACAGAGTGTAAAACAGTATATACTACATAGCAATTTAATAGATCAGGAGCTTAAAAAACTGCATAGAGTTTTACAAGACATTTACATTTACAAGAAATACAGCTATTACAACAAAAACAAAATTGCAAAATTGAATATGCACAAAAAAGTTAAAGAAGTTGCAGGCTTAGAAGAGTTGGATGTTTGGCAGATAGCCAAAGTAATCCACTTCTTAGTGTGGACGAGAGATTAGACACTTAAAGAAATATGTGGAAGTAGTATTTGCAGGTGAAGGGCAGATTGCTATTGAAAATATATAATGCCAAACGGGGCCCCCAATTACCATTAAATAAGTACAGAAGCTATTAGAAAAACAAAAGATAATAAAGCTGTAGGGCCTAACGAATTTTCTACAGAATTCCTAAAACCTATGGACGAACATTGCGTTCTGGATGTAATGTTCGTCCATAGGTTTTAGCTTTTTCCAGGACGCAATGAAAAAGATAATAAGCAACAGAGTGCTAGGAAAAGGTGGAGTCGTAAACGAAGCTATAAAGATGGGCGGACGTGCCTTTCTCAACCAAATAAAAATGTTGTTTAACCTTTGTCTAACAGATTGTTGCATACCAAAACATGGAACAATGCAGTAACAATTTTACTACACAAGAAAGGAGACAAGGCGCACCTAGAAAACTATAGACCAATCAGATTATTAAACCACATCTATAAAATGTTTACCCGAATAATTACGACAAGACTAGAGAAAAAGTTAGATTTCTACCAGCCCGGAGAACAAGCTTAGTTCCGCTCAAAATTCGGGAGAAACGATCTCCTACAAACAGTAAAAACCTTAATAGAAAAGTCGCTAGAATATAACAGACCACTGGTACTTATCTTCGTAGACTTTCACAAAGCCTTCGACACTGGAATTAGACAGCATTATAACTGCTGTGAGCAATAGTAGAACAGATTACCGGGTTTCAAAGTTATTACAAACATTACACCAAAACACCACCATGCGTGTAAAACTACATGATACCACCAGAGAAATTCATATCAAGCGAGGTGTGAGACAGGGCGACACTCTCTCGCCTAAATTATTTATAACGGCCCTCGAATAAGGCTTTAAAATGCTAAAGTAGGAAAATAGAATAATAAAATTAGATAGAGAAATGCTCAATCATCTGCGTTTTGCCAACGACATAGTACTTATTACCGAAGATCTGGGTGAAGCACAACAAATGCTACGTTGAAAACGTATCTTCAACAATAGGTCTAAAAATGAACATCCGTATGACCAAATTTATGACAAATTATTTTCCAGCAACACCTAACCATCCAAAATCAAGTGGTAGAATTGACAGAAAAGTACATATATCTTGGTCATGAAATCAGAATAGGCAAGGACAACGTGACCTGCGAATTTCAACGACGAATAACACTTGCTTGGGCAGCGTGTGGTTCACTGAGAGATATCTTTAAGAGCAACATCCCGATAGCTATAAAACGAAAGACATTTGACAAATGCGTTCTTCGTATTATGACATACGGAGCAGAAACTCTCACGCTCACAAAAACAACAGCACTAAAAATGCGAGTGAAAAGCAAAAATGCACAAAGGCGCATGGAAACATCAATTCACGGCGTAACAAAAAAAGACAAAATAAGGAATCAAGACTTATGGAAAAGAACAGGTATCAGTGATGTCGAACGTATAGCCAAGCTGAAATGGAATTGGGCAGGTCACATAGCGATACTAAAAGACACAAGATAGACCAGAAAACTAATTGGCTGGCGCCCACGAGAAGGGACCAATACGCTGGATGGACGACATTAGATGAATATCCAAGAAATGGCAACAAGAAGCACAGAACCGTGAAGAGTGGCGAAAAATGGGAGAGACCTATGTCCAGCAGTGGACAGAAGAGGTTGCATGATGATGACGA